TATTATTTATTGTTATTTCTTGCTATTTCTTATCATTTCTTGTTCTTATTATTGCAGTATACACTTCTGAATGCTTCAGATTACAGATAAAATTGAAAATGTTCCATCAACCTATTAAAACTGTGCTTGAACGTAGTGTCGTTTAAGGAACTTAGTCCGATAGGACCTTAAAAGTCCAGACACAAATAAACCTAAAAGTTCTAAAAAGGTATACCCATAGACCCTAAAATGGAGATAAATGTTTAAAACCTATACTAAAAACTAACGTCGTTGGAAGAACTTAGTCTGATAGGACCTTGAAAGTCCTGGCAATGTTAAGGGAGCTGAGACTACAGCTTTCTGCATGTTCCTTAGCACTGAATGATATCGGCCACTTCCAACCAGTTGGCGTATGCTTTCCTTGCCCTTCGCGAACTCCTTCCAAGTGCGTCTATCATGATGTTATGCTGCTCAATCTTATAATAATAATAATAATAATCATAATCATAATAATAATAATAATAAAGTATTTATATAGCGCTAGTTTCCTCAAAGTTCAAAAGCGCTTAACAAGAGTGACACAATTGTAAAATTAGAAAAACGATTTTTTAAAAAGAAAACTTTTAAGTTTGTTGTTAAAAACGGACACTGAGGAGCTGTTCATGATATCAGACGGCAAAGTGTTCCAGAGTGTGGGGGCAGCTACAGAAAAAGATCTTACACCGTTTGTCTTCAAATTAGAATGAGGAATCACAAGGAGATTTTTAGATGATGAACGCAGTTGACGAGCTAGAACGTAAGGTGTGAGTAGATCACGAATGTACGGATGGTGCAAGATTGTTAAGAGCTCTGTATGTGGTGAGTAGAATTTTAAACACAATGCGATAATGTATCGGAAGCTAGTGAAGATTTATTAGAATAGACGTAATGTGTTCATGTTTTCTTGAAAGAGAGATGAGACGAGCAGCGGCGCTCTGGAGAGCGCTCTGGAGCTCTCAGAGTGCTGTAACTTGCACTCTGGGTATCTCCTTCTTAATTCGGACCGCAGCAAAGCGTACTTGTTCGTCTCCTCTGCACATTTGATCTCTGACCCGTGGACAGATAATTTCAAGTAAGACTACTTTTTTTCCTCTCCTTGTCTATAACCGTACACTCTATCCTCACCTCCGCGTGTTCTGCATATAGTGGTATGTCCCAGAGTGCCTTTCCTCTCTTGTTCTCGTAAAGTGGCTTCGGTGGCTTTATTATTATCATCATCATTATCATCATCATTATCATCATCATCATCATCATCATCATTGTTATTATTATTATTATTAGTGTTAGACGAGCCTTCTTGTCGACTTAGCCCTTCCTAACGATGTTGGCTGTTCTGTGACCGTTCTGGTTGAGCGGGGCATAGTCTGGAGATGCAAGTTATGCTCTGTGATAGGCCCAGATAGAAGAACACCGTAAAAGGAAGCAGTGGCCTTCAAGAGAACACTAACTCATTTCCTCAAGCTCTCCTGCTCGCTTTGCATTAGCCTTGAATGGCTTTCTCACACCCTACCTCATCGAGTATCGCTCTTGAGTCGCAGAGATGCTAGTTTTAGGATGTCCTCAATTAGTGCCATTAATTATTATATTGGTTTTAGAATATTTATTAGTTTGTTTTAATGATGAAATGTAGTTTTAGGGTGTCCCCAGTTAGTGCCTACAGGCACTAGAACGACTAGACACGTTAATAAAGGTTATGTATCGTATATATGCACGATCCTTCGCAGTAAAGCACTATTTCAGCAATAGTGAAAATCAGACCTGAAAAAAATTTCAGGCCTGTACGGGATTCGAACCACTGACCTCTGCGATACTAGTGCAGCGCTCTACCAATTGAGCTAACAAGCCAACTGGGAGCAGGCCATCAAATTAATTCGACATAAACCCGTAGATGATAAATCAAACAACAACAAACATATGAAACATATGTGTGAACTGCGGTTATGAGACGTATATGAGCACGATCCTTCGCAGTAAAGCACTATTTGAGCAATAGTGAAAATCAGACCTGAAAAAAATTTCAGGCCTGTACGGGATTCGAACCACTGACCTCTGCGATACTAGTGCAGCGCTCTACCAATTGAGCTAACAAGCCAACTGGGAGCAGGCCATCAAATTAATTCGACATAAACCCGTAGATGATAAATCAAACAACAACAAACATATGAAACATATGT